GAGATTGTAATTCCCATACAACACGGCCGCTCATGTTGTAAACTATACTTAATGTATCCTAGTAAATATATCCGATCCTATTGTTCAAATGACTGAATTTGCTAGAGTGCACGCCACATAAGCATGGAACAATTCTTAACTTAAGAATTGTTCCATGCTTATGTGGCGTGCGTATGCACTCTAGCAAATTCATCAGCGCCTATAAGATTTAGTTATCAACTAACTAAGAATTTAGTGAGGCATAAACAAAGACAAGTTTCCTTTCTGGCATTGTGTGCATGCCCCAGCGAAAAATTCTTAGTTAGTTGATAACTAAATCTTATTAGATGTTCATAGTTAAGCATTGTTTCATACTTTTTTGGCGTGCACTCTATAAGGACCTATATGCGCTTTAAGCTCGATTCGTTCACGGTACTCACGGTTGGTGAGTAGTGTCGTATGCTAAAACCAGTTACATAATGCTGAGTTGTGGGTCTGAGTGTCTCCAATTAATACGTAGTATGTACACTTGATATCTGGCTAAAGTGATTGAGGCAAAAAGCGTTTCTTGTGATGGATATTTTCAATAGTTGAGTTTCGCGATCAAAATATTCAGAAGTTTAAATAAACTCGTGAGATTTCAAACTATTTCCATTATCTTCTACACTCACGGATCTCTTGCATTTGCACGGACTATTAGTGAATAAAAGAATTCATTACATGGTTTTGAGGCTAACAAAAGAGATCGCTAAAAGGGTCTATAGCCGTAAACTATGACTCCTCCGACCTTCTTACATAACTTATAGTATGGCAAACCTCTGTTCTTACGGGCTTCGTTTTGTATAAGGATCGTTGTGAGCAACAATCTTGGACATAAATGTTGAAAATTTTTAAACACGTACGACATTTCTCACACTCTTCGTCGATAAAACCTTACTCGTGCCCCCCCCTTCCCCCAATACAATGTTGTGTGCCTTTCTTTTCATTGGCTGTCCATTCATTAACCCCTGCATGCAACATTGATGCGGGAGGGAAGGGAGGGAAGGGGAATATTTTCATGCACACGATACAGTATCTGTAATTGCCCAAGCGAAAAATTGTCAAGTATTTATGTCCAAGATTGTAGAGTCACTGGATATGAACAAATTGTTATATACACAGGAAGCCCAAGAAAAGAAAGTCGCAAGGGATGAATCATACAAGGCAATGTAAACTCAGTCTTTTATTTTCTCTGTTTGTTTATTTCTTCGCCTCAACGTGGTGTCCTGTCTTATAGTCCCGTATAATCACGAATAAATCACGAACTCGAACGGCTACAAAACAATCAAACCAAAAACGGCTTGCCTTACAAGTTACGTCATCACCGCCATGTTGGATGAAAATTACAAAGCATTTCTTATTAGTTTTTCTTGTTCATTCATCAAACATGGGGGCGATAGCTCTGTCCTTTATTTCTATTTCTTAGGGGATTCCTGGGCATATCCACAAATGTCATAAAGTTAGAGGTGAAAGCCAACATGGCGCATTTGGGATGTGAAGCTGCTGAAGAATAGGAAGACGAGGCAGGAAAATGAAAGCAATGCATTTGGCGATCGTTTCCGTACATCTTTTTCTCTCCCCACTGGACCCACCACGCCCTTTTTTCGTCTTAGCAAAGAGCTACGTAGTCTAAATATGTTAAAAACGTGTTACTCATGTAAACGGACAAAATAAAACGATAAACGAAGGGGGGAAGTTTTTTTGTGCAAATATAATAAGAACATTAAGACACTTGTAAGTGTCGTCAAAAG